ATACATAAATAATTTACTTAAATGACTTGTATTTAATGAATATCAACAGAAACTTAAACAATTAGTAATAACAAAAAGAAAACTAATTTTTTTTACAAGTAATATGAATTTATTACCTTCCTAAAGATATACAAGTAAAACTCACCATTTTCTAAAGGCTTGGCGCTGATGACAATATGTATTTCCCTAGTGGCGTGATCGTGTTTTCGTCATAACATTTTACGAGATCCCCTATAAACTCAAGTCATAACAAACAGCAAATGTCAGTGTTCAGAGATAGAGAGGGAGATAAAGATTACAACAAAAATACTAACACAACGCAATACATCTTCGAAATGCTCAAATAAAAATTAAAATAAAAATAATTTGATAATGTTCATTGTGCACATGTACATTTTGCCCCAACTCAATTATTTTGACATTTTCCGTAGTAGGTTTGTTTGTTTCTTGATTCTTGCAATACAACGTCAGAACCGTTTGTCCAAAGTTCGGAAATATATCTTATATTTGCAGGAAAATAACATACACAATTCACATTTGTGATCATTATAAACAAAACAGCAAATACCGACCGCATTTCGTTCGCTGTTTCTCGCTCACGTGAGTCACTGTGACGACAAAATGTATGACGTGTACATTATGTTTTGCATTTGAATTTGTTTAACCAACAATAAGTAAATTAAAATAAAAATTCACGTTGGTGTTTTAATACCCGCTAAAATCAGCAGTCATCAGTTTCGTGGCATTGACGTTCGCTCACTCTCTGAATTTTTCTCTGTGAGCCAGACTATCCTCTGTTGCCAATTGCCAGCAAAGCGTAGAACGTAAGCAAATATTTCATTCTCTTCAAAATATTATGTTTTTGCTTTATCGCACAGTTTAGGCGACCTCGAAGTTGTGTAAAGAATACAGTCAGATTCGTTATTCTTTTAGGTTTTTGTAAGATGACAAAACGTGGACTTTAATTAACTTTGCAAGCAAGTGTATTTACAGAAATCAACGTATTATTTTATGTAACCGACTCTGAACAAAGTAAGTGCTGCGAAACACGTAAAATTATGATTTATTTCGCTTTTCGGATATACACTACACATTTTTTTATAGATAGGCTAATTGTTCCTAATATCGGCATGTAACAGAAATCGGCATTAACTGTATTTAAGCTCAAATATCTTGTAACTAAATATGAAAACTTCCTTGAGAAATCTGTCTGTGTAAAATTTAATGAAGTTAAGTTGATTTATTAGGCCACTAGCCACATTTCACGTTTGCTAAGAAATAAATAGAGGATATGTCGATTTTAAAAGACTTTTTTTTCTTAATTGTAAAGAACGTTGTAGTTCTTAACATTTTTGATGCCACCTTTGAAAAAAGTGGTATTCCTATAGACGGCATATGGTTGGAAAATAAGTATTTCGTCATAATTATTAGTTTAAATTGGCAAAATATTAAATAAATATTCTATTTATTTTTCGCATTTTTAATTTTTGGTTTTTTTTTACAAATACTTTTTAAGTCTTTGGTAGACGTAGATTTGCTGCGATTGCCCGTACATAAATTCAGTGCGTTGCGTACTAAAATACTTACCTTCGCACCTTTAGTCCTGATTTAGATTAGGCGAGTTTACTTGCTGCAATTCTTATCGTTCTCTTTTGAACTTGCGTCATGCGTCTATACAAGGCAATTCGATTTCAAAAATATTTTTTTTTTTTTTTGTGACAATGTTCAATTCAGTGCGTTGCGTACTAAAATACTTACCTTCGCACCTTTAGTCCTGATTTAGATTAGGCGAGTTTACTTGCTGCAATTCTTATCGTTCTCTTCTGAACTTGCGTCATGCGTCTATACAAGGCAATTCGATTTCAAAAATATATTTGTTTTTGTGACAATGTTCTGGATTGGTATTTAAAATTACTGACACAACAAACAAAAAACACAAAACGAATTGCCAGAAAATTGCTGGTACGAGCAATTTTTTCCAATTTCTATTCCCCTTACCCCTCTCTCCAGCAAACAAAGACTTACAGGGTTTGTTGAACGTCGGTATTACCCCATGGTACAATTATAAAAGGTAACAGCAAATCCCAGCTGATTTGATTCCAACGTAATACTAGTGTCAATATGAATTTGACAAATTATGTTTTTAAAAATCACCCAACAGGAAAATTGGGAACGCATACAATTTAAAATTGTTCTTTATTAAATGTGCTCCTGTATTCAATTTACTTAATCTGCCTGCTGGGAAAGTTTGAATAAGCAAATATTTCTTCAAGGAATAACTCGATATTCCCAGCATTTTCATATGTGTTACACATATATATGGCAATGGCTCAATTATAGGAAAGATGTGGAATAGATAGATATATAAATTTGATAGATTTTCATTCATGTTTTTCAATTTTTATTTTGAGGATTCGAAAATATTTCATTTTCAAAATAAAAATAATTTGATGATAATTTGTTTGTTTGTTTACATTTTTCTGTCAAATGAGTTGACACTAGTAGAACTTACAACAACAAATTTCCATGTGGTTGTTGTATCGTTTTTTGTACAACAACACTTGCTGTTACCTTCTATTATTATACCATGGTATTACCCAATTTTACTATTTTTTTGATATTGTAAAGGAAAATTCGTTATCGTAGTAAAAAGTAGTAGATTCTTGCAGCCCTACCTAAAATTCAACTAGCTCGTTCGACGTTTTTCACCACAAAAGTAAACGCACAAATTTTCAAAGTTGAAAATTTATTTCAAGTTTATTTCTCGATTTTGTTTAGCTCGCTAAGAATTGAGGCCTCGACGAATTGAGGGTAGTACGGTCGTACAAAACATTTCAATCTCAATTTATTTCATAAACGAGAATCTAGCCCAAAGGGCCTAAGCAATTCAAAAAACAACAAAATATTGACTACTCCAAAGGCTTAAAACTAACAATGAATTATCTTAATAATATATTAACGTCTATTTAGATGGAGGGGTTCAGAACCATTGTAGTTCAAAAACATGTTTATTATTATAATTAGATTATTTGATGTAGCGACCTAGCACATAAGGCCAAGGACTACAATATTATATCTACTCTCAATCACTAATTACAATTTACAGGTTTAAATATCTTATTATAATATCACACTCATCAATATAAAAGAAATATAATTTATTATAGCTATAATTATTTAAATGTTGACATCAGTTATGCAATAAAAGCACAAATAATTAAACAAAATCCATGAATTTTAAGAGGAATTGATGTTGAAATAATCATATAAATGAGTTCGATAACATTTTAAGGAAGAGCTAAACGTTTTAAGAGAAGGCGGTAAGGTGTTGAAAATTCTAGAAATTCGCACAAAAAGGCTTTTTCCAATAAAGGACACAAACGGGGAACAAGTATTTGTATGTTTCTAAAAGATCTAGAAAACTTAAACAAATCAACTACAGAGGAGGGAGTCTGAGTTTAGGTAATGTTGTAATATAATGTCATATACATTTTCTGACAATATATAAAATGTAATAAATGCTATTGATGTTGCCTTTGACCAGAACTAAACGAACATACAAAATATTGTGATATTGGTTTATACATTTTTGATCACAAAATAATGTACAGATGGACAGGTACACAGATACGTTAAATATTGAATTTCAGTTGCTACAAGAACAGGGATGGTCCGTGTGACGAATTTTTAGATTTTCGACTGTCAAAAAGGTGTAAACGTTGAAAATGTCATATATGTTAATAAATGTAAACGTCATATATGTCAATATTATCAGCATATACATTTATTTTCAAGAATATATATTATTTTTTCATATATCTGACAATTCCCTAGTAGAACTAATAAACATTTCAAAATTTTTTTGAGAAGAACATTTTGAAATTTTATATTAATTTAAGTAAAGCATGCGTAATTTCAAATTGATTAATGGAATAGCTATTTTGTCAAAAACCTAATGGATTTGGGTAGGTTTCCGACGTTTCTGACGTATGTATTATACGTCGGAAATGTATGTCATTTACGTCACTGTTTCTGACAGGCCATCTCTGTACAAGAACAAAACAAAACAAGTTATACCCTCAAGGAGGACAATTTTAAAATTCAGAAAAAAAGATATGGAGAACCTTTGAATGCCAAAACGGAAGGTGTCCTTTTACAATATTAAATGTCAAAATCTTCGAAAAATGGCGTTGTCCGTACTGGACCTTTTGTAAAATGTAGATCAATATGATCAATTCTTATTTTGGTATTTAATTGAACATTTTTGTTAAATTATAAGCAAATGAAAATTTGAAGTTTTCGATTCGGTCTTTACACCGTTATTACTGATATTTAGATCCATAGGTAATCCACGCAAGTAACTTGTAATTTTGGTGTAAAACAAGAAACGTTTGAAAAATGAAACTCTGATGGCGGTAACTAGAATAGTGCTGTATGAACGGGTTAATTGTGCAAGAACATACTTGTGAGGCGAACTACGTGGTTCAAAGGCTCGTATACCATAAGTGTTTACAAAACGTCATTTGAAAATATGGCAATGTAATTTATTCAAATTTTTTTAATTTCGTTTGAATTTCTGAAAATTCAGAGTTTTTGTTAAAAGTAAAATTAGTATCGATTGTATATATGTACATAATGCCCTTAAAGCCTTTTTTGAATCATATACGAATTTTGAATGTATAAACATTTATGCAATAATTCAATGAATTAATTAAATCTCAGTATTTTTATAGTCCTAAAATATTTAATAGCTATTAATAATAGATAATGAATATTTCGCCTTATTTGTTTTTTTTCAGATAGCGAAAATAATGCCAATGATGAACGACAGTAGTTTTTGAATCTTTTGGCGGAGCAATACCATAACGTTAATATAATTGAAAATAATCATATTTCGAAAATAAATATTTTCATTCAAACAAACATATATACATAATCTGTTTATCAGTTTGCACAGAGCGTTATATTCAATTGTCCTGTTTTATTTACATCTCTTTGAAATGGCAATGGCATCATCCTCTATAATTTCGAATAATGCAATAACACAACATACTACACCAGTAACAGGAGTTAACGGTACTGCTTCTAATCCAACATTAAATTCTGCACATTTGACACGCAAGCGTTCGTACGAAACCGCTTTGACAGAAACTGTATATAACGCCAACCAAATTGAGAAAGAACACAACGCAACAATGAAACCTCCTTCATCCTTAAGTGAATCCACGTCAACAACAGCATCTCCCGTAAATACAGTGGGTGGATCAAAGGATTACACGCGCACAGTCTCGCAAAACGATGTCGATGACAATGAAAATAATGGTAGCAGTATTTCATCGGATAAAATCACAGCGGAAACATCAGCCAGTCCGGTTAAAAAGAAATACCTAGCACCAAAAAATTTGCAAAATCTACCAAGTGTAAGCAGCGGAACTTCGGATATACAAGTTAGTATATAAATTGATTTGTTTTAATTACCTTGCAATTTGTAATAGGAATATTTAATGAATAGCTTTGAAAATATGAGTATACGAAAAAGTTAGTGATTGCAAAAAATGTTAAAGTAACCCACTCTAATTTGAAGTTTACAGAAGCCCGCCAGTTTTTATTTGAAACGTTAAACGCGAATTTTCCATATTTATATTCAATATAAAGTTAAGAAATATATTCATATTATCGAATACTACTACCGATACATTTCGCTATACGAATTAAGAAAAACATACATCACCAACTACTGACAACATTTTCAGCACAATAATTTACAAATAATCTACCCGCAAACCTCAACATATATACCAGTATATATTGGAGGACGTTCGTCCAATTTAGATGTACATATTTTTAACAAATATTTCTGAAAATGTAGCTTGTATAAAAGCCATAAATGACCATCTTCCGGTTATCTGTGAAGGTAATTTAAGTGCACGTACTTCGACCAACCCTTATTACAACTATAATAAAGCTGACTGTTTCCGATTTAAAAGTTTTATTACTAATAAACTTTCAACTTCTGAACTTCTTCTGTTATGTGCTGATACAAATGAAATTTATGCGAAGGTTAAACTTTTAATATAATAATAAAAGGTTCAGAGACGCTAGTGATCGTTTGTAAATGAATCGCCTTAATAAACAACAAAGCCTTAAAAAAATTAGTACCACTTAATAATATTTTTGATACAAATCAAAACCAAACCTTTAAATATCTCAATATAAGCCAAAAATTGACTTAAACCATTTTCAAAATATTGTCACGCTTATGTATCCTCTAATAAACTCCTAATATCCAACTTTTTTTCTTATTTTACAATATAACATGCAGCTACTTTTTGTATATTTATTATACACATTAAAAAGAAATGAAAAAATTAACATTTGAAAATTCCACTACAAGATCCTGAAGCATAGTATACACATATATATTTATTTACTACAATGTTAATACTATAATAAATATATATTTATTGGCAACGTTCATCAATCAATTAATTCTTTATTGAACTCCGACTGGAATGAAAATAGGTTATTCATATTTGTTTATTGGCAATTAAGACCTATTGATGGCTTGATTGGAATATTCAATGCTTTTAAATGATTGGAGTCATGGTATTGCGAACATTAAAGAGCAACGATTAAACATGGGATGTCCACATGACGACTTGTTCTTTAATTTCCATACTCTGTTGAAATACCGAACTGGTAATTTTGCCAGAAATAAAAAGAAGTTTGCTCTCAAATGCGATTTTAAAACCAATCTTGTGTATGTAAGTCGAATCTGAGACAATTTAACAATGTTTGACTGTATGATACGGACGGACTTTATTGATGGTATAATGTAAACATACACATACACGCCCATATCTAGATCGTCAAATATGATTGCGAAGACCAATTTACTTAATTGAAAGAAAACTGGAGAACGGCTCAATAATTGAAAAGGGAATTGCCTCGGCATCGTTAAGAAAACAAATGCGAGAAGCATTATGGTTCAGATTTTGAGTGTAGAATCAGTTTAATTTTTATTTGCTTTTAGTGACTGCAACAACCAGCAACACTTCTTTTCGTTTCCACTCGGTTTGGAAATAACAACACCCAACTATAATTTCGATTTACATGTAGCAACATTTCTGCCAAGTGTCATTAAAATATACATTAAAAGTCTGTTTTGGTTTTAATATAAAGTACAAATTTCCAAAATGATGCTGAACAAGATCAAGACGTTACCGCTTCACATGGACTTCAATGAATACGTAAATACACAGATATCCTTGCTTTTAGAACATATGTACATCGAGTTTGGAGTTATTCCAAATTATTAATTTTTTGTCTGTCGTATTTTAGCAATCTTTACATACCTATTTTATGACCATGCCAATTTATACATAATTTATTTATTTCGTTCTCAGACCATTTGTAAGCCAGCGCCCTTTTCCACCGATGAAGAAGCAGTACAGGAACGCGAGCGATGCGATTACACACAAAAAATTACATACCAAATGGCTCGCAGTGGTCAATCGAATAGACGCGTACGCGTCTACGCGGATGGTATCTACGATCTTTTCCATCAGGGCCATGCTAGACAACTAATGCAGGTAGATATTTCTGCGACGAAAATACGTAGTGGTTTTGAAAATGCACACGTTTTCTCTTATAGGCTAAAAATATATTTCCTAACGTTTACCTAATTGTTGGTATTTGCAACGATCAACTCACACACAAAATGAAAGGCCGAACTGTTATGAATGATTTTGAACGGTACGAAGGTGTACGGCATTGCCGCTATGTCGATGAAGTAAGTTCGCTTCCATTACATTCCTTGCTCTATGGATTTATCTGAAACCTAATTTTAGATTATTGCGAATGCACCTTGGACATTAACCGATGAATTCATTACTGCTAATAAAATAGATTTTGTAGCGCACGATGACATTCCATACACAGGCGAAGGAGTTGATGATATTTATGGCTGGCTGAAAGCCAAAGGCATGTTTGTTGCAACTGAACGCACAGAAGGTACGTACGACTAGGTGTATATTACCTTAAGAAGTTTCAAATTGTAGTTCAACTCTTTGTAGGCGTTTCAACTTCCGACATTGTGGCGCGAATCGTTAAGGACTACGATTTGTACGTCAGGCGCAATCTCGCACGTGGTTATTCGGCCAAAGATTTAAATGTTTCGTTTTTATCGGAGAAAAAGTTCCGTTTACAAAATAAAATGGACGAACTGAAGGACCGTGGTCGACGTGAATTGACAAAAGTTAAGGGAGATATAATCACGAAATGGGAAGAAAAATCGCGTGAATTCATCGATGCTTTCCTATTATTATTTGGGCGTGATCGTCTTAACACACTGTGGAACGAATCCAAGGGAAAGTTAATTCAAGCATTGAGTCCACCAGGAAGTCCTAGTGGTTCGGTGAATGGGGACTATCTCGAATATGATGATGATGAATATGACGACGTTTTGGGTGACGACGAAGAAGCTGACGATGGGGCCGCGTCCCGAGGCTCAAGTGATAATTGCCCAGACCCAAATATGCACATGGAACATTCTCCGCGAGGTAGACGCACTTATCACCGGCGTGTGGTAGACAGCCCCACAATGCTGCCCAAATCTTCTCAGCCCTCTCTGGACGATGATGACATCGAATTCGAGCGTCGAAGTAACTAAATTTATCCAAAGATGTTACATCGCAACACCGATATACTCTGGCTAATTTATTTATTTAATAATTTCCCTGAACCGAGTTTACTTACATTAAATCCATATTGAAAACAATTGCGTCCTTTTCGAACGGGAGCATAACCTCTTCTTAAAAACTGTTTAAATGTCCCTCTTTTGTATATGCTATATGCATACGTGTGCATAAGACCACTACATTTGATTGCATATCCATGATTTATAGGAGAGGAGATTACTTTTATGCGTGTGATCTAAATGCATATACTTAAAATAAATCCTGAACCTTTTAATGGTGAATTATCTATTTAGGTGTATTACGTGCTACCAAATGATAGCAACTGAAAACTCTTTGATTTAAGTTAGCTTCAAATTCTATTATTTTTTAGAAAATCCAATTTTGTTTGTATGTGGGAATAATAATAATATATATATTGATGGCATTACTTTTCGAAAACATACATATACTATTTATTAGATTTAGTTGTAAATTTAATTTATTTTACTAATACGTATTTATATTTATAAATTCCACTTTCAGTTTCTATTATTTATCTGAAGTCTTTCGTTTCTTAGGTACTTTAAAATCTATGAAAATTTCCGCATTGTACATTTTTATATGATAATAGTGGGAATGTACAATACACATGGATATTCTCCTGTATATTATATATATTCACACATATGTAAATCGCCTATTCTCCTGATTTTAGTTATATTGAATAAAAGGAAAAAATCTATTTGAAATATAATTTTGCAAAACATCTTCCTTTTGCTAAATTGCGTTGACTTTTTGATTCAATTAACTAATTAAATGATATTTAAAGGACAAGTAAAAAATATAATAAGAAAACAAATAAAGTATATGAATTGGGAATAAATCGAAAATTTGTATCAATATTAAAGCAAGAAAAATTTGAATTTCTATGGTAAGTTGGAATTGATGTAAAAAATTAACAGCCTTATTCTGGATATCTCGCATGTACAAAAATTTTCGCTTTCACATTCTCGCCTTATTCTGAATGAATAAGGAGACGCAAAAAATGCGAGATGCGGATTCGAGTTTTCGAAAATGGTGGTTGAAAAAAGATACGTGTTGCCATTGTTTTATAAATGCTTTGTAATTAAAAGAAAATTAATTAAATTTTGAAAATATGGCAACCTACAATATGACATGTGAAACAGCTGTTCATTTTTTGTTGTTTCATAATTTTTATTTAAGTTTTTCACTGTTAAGCGGCTCATTAGGCAAATTTGGTTTTTCTATATTTTTTTTTTTTTTTTTTGAGAGACAGATCCTCACCCAAAATGTCTGTTTTTCGCCTCCAAAATGCATCAAACTCGACTTAAATATTCATTATTACCTTTATACATTCCTTGGCAATATTTGGTTCAGCAGGCATCATTATCAATAGGATTTCCAAAGGCATTTCATTTTCTGTTTTCCAGATAAACATTTGCTTACTATCATTTATAATATTCTAAATCGTCATGGAATAAGTATTGTTAATATTTTTCATAATATTTTTAATATTTTTCATAAAAATATTTATTATTTTGTGCGAACAATTTCTCATTCTCCGAGAATGCGAAAAAATTCACACAAAAATTTTGTTCAGAATAAGACGAAGGGTATCACGTGGAATTGACATCCAGAATAAGGCTGTAATTGATTGCGTAAAGTTCATTAAGCAAAATTCAAAAAAAAAAAAAAAAAAATACAAAACATACATACATTTTATGTACAGTCGAAATCCCTTATAACGATATATAACCGCCGAAAGTGGTCACTATAAATGATATTAAATTAAGGACAGAAATTTTCTCGGGATTGCTCTTAATTAAAATTTGACTGTATTTTTTAATTTTCTTTAAAATTTAACAAATTGCTAAATACCTTAAAGCACAATTTCTGTTCGGACAAGATTTTTACTTTTTTACTTAATTTATATTCTAGATTTTCTGCAATATAAAAAATCTCTAATTGCGATGAAAAACCCATGTAGATATGCAAATATAGAGTAAGTGATGAAATTTGTGGTATAGGATGGTAATGTGGTATAGTCGCTCTTTTTGTAAACTGAACATTTTAAAATAACTGAAACATGTACAGTAGTTTGCTGTTCTCAAAAAAAAAAAAAAATAGCAATGATCTGATGATTATCTAAATCATGTTCAGAACAGTTAGAAAAAATTCAACTTTGCATGAAATTGACTATTTTCGTTTGAAGTTTAATTTCTTTCTGTAGTTAGTCCCAATTGAGATTAGGCGAGTTTACTTGCGGCAAGTCTTTGTTTGTAGGAGAGAGGGGCAAGGGGAATAGAAATGAAAAAAGTTGCTCGTACCGACAATTTCTGGCAATTCGTTTTATGTATTTCGCATTTGTTGACATTTTATATATATTTGAATGTGAAAAAAAAAACAACAAATAAAAAAATATTTTGGAAACCGAATTGCCTTGTATAGACGCATGAAGCAAGTTCAAAAGAGAACGATACAAATTGCCGCAAGTAAACTCGCCTAATATAAATCAGGACTTATGCCATGGCATAACACAAGGTACCTTGGCACAACATATTCATCAATGTAGCAGATAATGTGGTGTATATTAATGGTCTGTTCCCGTACTGCAAGAATCTACTCGATTTTACTATTTTCTTCGATATCATAAAGGAAAATTTGTTATCGTAGTAAAAAGTAGTAGATTCTTGCAGTACGGGAACAGACCATAAGTCTTCATGAAAAAATCCAGTACAAGACGAAATGCCATTATTTTTTAATTTCACAACCCTTCAATTCAAAATTTTTAAACATAAAAAACTCCATACATCGGAAATACAACAACCACAAGGAAATGCGTTAACGCACGCAAAAAGTTAAAATATATTTAACTCCGACGTGCAACGCACATAATTCCTTTTTAAGTTAAAAACATAAATAAAACCATTTATTATATTCAAAATAACCATCGATAAACTATTATGGACATTTTTTTATAAAAATATTTAATATTAAAAAATTCGTACAAATTGTTGTCACGTTCTCTTCATCCCTTGCATTTAGAAAAAATTGTCTATCTACCAAGGCCAGAATGAATGATGGTATCATATAACAGCAACTCACTTGAGAACGAAAGTTGGAATCTGCCTCCTGAACATTAATTACGTTTGGAAATATAACGATGCGGAATTTGGTGACCGATTTACTTAAATAACACGGCTATACATAGACACAAAACTGTTTTTTGTCAATGACATAATTCTCTCCCAATAAAGCTAAAACACCAACACTGTTGGCCCTTATTACGATTGGCGTAGTCGTGTTGAAAATTTGTCACTGTCTTATTAATACGACAAATCGCTATTATAAAAGCAGTTACAATACGTCAAATTTGTCGTGAAAGATTCTGTTGACGACGGCATAAAAATAAATAGGAAAATATTTTAAACATCGTTTTTTTTTACTTCGGTAGAAAGCAGGGAAGACTATCAGCCTTATTCTGGATATTCGCTGGGAGATATCTCGCACATACAAAAATTTTCGCTTTCACATTCTCGCCTTATTCTGAATGAATAGGGAGACGCAAAAAAAGCGAGATGCGGATTCGAGTTTTCGAAAATGGTGGTTGAAAAAAAGATTCGTGTTGCCATATTATAATTTAAGTTGTAATGTGTGTTGCCATATTGTAATTTAAGTTGTAATGTGTGTTGCCCCATTGTAAATTAATTGTGTAATATTTTTCAATATTTTATTTATTGATTATTTTATTAAAAATTGTTACTTGTTATTGTGGTTTAAACTTTATAACAATATAAATGTGAAATATCAAGAATCCGCTTTATAAATGCTTTGTAATTAAAAGAAAATTAATTAAAGTTTGAAAATATGGCAACCTACAATATGAAATGTGAAACAGCTGTTCATTGTTTTGATGCATTTTGGTACAACAACTACAATAGATTACAAATAAAAGAACATTTTTTTATGATGGGAAAAACACAGGCACATAATTGTGTGCCTTTTATTTAATTTCGATATTTTATATCTCCAATTTCTTAAAGTGCCCTGTTATGCTCCTATTCCTTTATTTCTTCCTTCAAATAATGCAAAGATAATTTTGAAAAAAAAAAATATTTTTTGTATTTTTTTTTTTTTTTTGTTTCATAATTTTTATTTAAGTTTTTCACTGTTAAGCGGCTCATTAGGCAAATTTTGTTTTTCTATAATTTTTTTCTTGAGATACAGATCCTCACCCAAAATGTCTGTTTTTCGCCTCCAAAATGCATCAAACTCGACTTAAATATTCATTATTACCTTTATACATTCCTTGGCAATATTTGGTTCAGCATGCATCATTATCAATAGGATTTCCAAAGGCATTTTATTTGCTGTTTTCCAGATAAATATTTGCTTACTATCATTTATAATATTCTAAATCGTCATAGAATAAGTATTGTGTTAATATTCTTCATAAAAATATTTATTACTTATGTTTTTGTAGTCAACTCACTTTGAATTTATTAGCGAAAAATTTCGCACAAAATTTCATCTCATTCCCCTACTCCCTGTAATCCAGAATACCTAATTTTTCCCCAATGCGGATTTTTTCGCTTTCGAACTTCATTCAGAATAAGGCGAAAGCGAGAATGCGAAAAAATTCACACAAAAATGTTGTTCAGAATAAGACGAAGGGGAAGAGCGAGTAAATTCACGTGGAATTGACATCCAGAATAAGGCTGTATAGTTTTGGATCTCGCCACGGATCCTCATCAGTTTCCTGTTTTTTTCGGATTTTCTCCCCAATGAGCATTTCTTTAGTGCCTGACTTCTTGGTCAACAATGCATTTATAATACATTTCCCACTGCTATGTGCCGTCAATTAGCGACGAATGCACATTACGTCGCATTCGACTACGCCTACGAGAGCTGCCGTGCAATAAGGGTGATTATTTCTTAACAATAAAAAGACAACAATTTAGTTAGGTGTTAGTTTTATTTCAAAACAAAAAATAACCAAAGTTAAACAGATGTATTCATTTTCGTATTTTCATTAGTAGTTCAATTACTAAAATTCATACCGGTTGTGAAAAGGGGAACCATTTTCTTCCCCTTCTTAGATTTTTTATTACCCGAATTATCAACATTTACCATGTTTTTATCAGATGATTTCTTTTTAGACAAAGCTTGAGCCAGCACATCCCCTAAATTTGTATGGAAACTATTCAAAATAGAACCTTCTTCATTGTCGCTAGTTTGAGACATTACGATATTTTTGGAAACATTTGACACCGGCTTAGCTGTTTTCCATGGACCGATTTCCTGCTGACAGTGCAAGGCAATGGAAGAGTAACTAGAACTGCCAACACTGCTTGTACTAATTGTCTTCTTGCGAGATCCTTTAGATGTAGAAGGGATATCGTCCGTCGGATCCGCAATGGGGGACAGAGGTTCTTCGAAGCCACACTGTTATAAATGTAATTTAATTTAATTAACATGTAACATTTGATGGTGGATTATAGTTGCGATTAAAGTTTGTTTTGTATAAATACTTACTATTGGGAATTCATCTGCGGACATTATGTTAATCGCAGCTGCACTTGATATTAGTTTCCCCATCTGACGGTCGTTTATAGCATTAATTTGCTTTTCACGTTCCCGTTCTTCCCGCGCTTTTCGTTGTCGTTCTTTTTTGCGATGAACAATGTCCGCTTTGAATGATTTGATAACATCCTCTGTGACATACGGTGGAAGAAGCTCAATTTCCACAACTGAGAACTCACAAGTTAATGGTAGGTGGCCTAAACATGTAAATTTACGACGGTGGTCCTCATCCATTGAGTGTTGTTCTTTCTGCAAAATGCGACCTTCAATCAGAGGAGGACCTTCCGACAAACTACCGTAATTAGCTTGCAACATCTTCACATTCAATGGGTGCAAGTATACATTTTGACCATCAGCAGCTTGATAAAAGTAGTAATATCTTCCTGAAGACTGGTTCGCTTTCCCGTTACTTTCAGTTGCACATTCCCCATTGTTTAAAACGGAATCGTCACACACAATATCAGTGTCGCAATGTTGTATTTGTAGTTCACTCGATTGTACAACATTTTCATCATCTTTTATTTCTCCCAATTTTTCTGACCTTTCCGTTAACAATTCTATGGCTTGCTGCACAAAAACAAATTCTGGACACGATTCATCCACGTTTGAAAGAAGCTCGGAACGCTCTCTTTCCAATATATTGAAAATATCTGCACGTCTGGCTAGAACAAACTTTGAAAATAACTTGTCTTCCATTGGACTTGACACATACGGATAAAATTCCGAAGACTTTTCGTCCTGCCAGTTTTCATATTTTTCAATTAGCAGTGATCCCTTCTTTCTACGCATCAAGCGAAATGTAATCTGAGAACCAATATTGTACGACGATTGCTGTACAATGGAAGCACTTTTCAAATCTCCAACATGTACTGCATCGTAACAAATTGGACATTTCCGCCATGTTTTGTCGCTCAATGATAAATAATGGAGTACACAAGTCCAGCAGTACACGTGGCCACAACGTGTGACTTTAGCTGCAACAGGTGGGTACAGACAAATAGGACATTGAGGTTCGTCAGAAGTTTGAATGTTAATTTGTTCAATCAAGGACCAATCTATCAAACTGTCAGGGGAATCGTTAGCTTTACGTTTTGCTGATGCTTTTATGACGAACTGGAAGCTATAAATATATACCATATTTTAAAGAGATACACCTACTTTCAACTTGTCCGCAAGAAGACTTACTTCGCTTGTATGAACTGTTCTTTGTTGTATTTATGTTTTTTTATTTGTCCATGGCGCTGTCCATATGAGCCACTTGCGCCCACAGCTCCATCGTAGTAGTCAACTTCACGAGGTGTATAGTAGAAGTTAAGTAAGTGATTCAAGTTCTGTTTCCTGCATCCCGCCGAATAAACAGAATTGACATCATACTTTCGGTTCGATTCAAGACCGTTTGCCCCTTCGTCGGAAGATGGTGCGGCCAAAGATTCCTCTGCAACTAATCTGGAGGAGCTGGGAGGAGGGCTAACAAATTCATGATTGATGTTGCCATTAAAGCCACGAGCTCGTGGACGTTTGTCCACATTAGGACGAACTTTAGCAGCAGTTTGGGGCGGTTGAGTTTTATTGTTATTGCTGCGAGAAGATGCCAGGGGATTTTCACGTCGTCTAGAATTTTTAGGAAAGTTTTTAGCTGGTTGTGGATCTGAAAAAGTAAACGAATGCGGAAATTGAATAGGTTACATACGCATTTGATATTATTAGCAGACACTGACCTAAACTTTTCTGCCGAACACAATCAGTTCCTGAATTGGCCGTTTTCGCATAGCCAGACCTTGAAAAATATTGTTTTTTGTTGTTGTCCATCGTTACGATTAATACAAAAATTGTGTGGTGTTGGTGATGATGATATAAATGCGCAGTGCTTATCGGGCGCAGACGATCTAACAAGACACTTGTCTCCACATGGAGTTTGTGAAATTAGACTTTTAAATGTATTCATTTTTAGTGAGCCATGATTACAATGTACACCCGAGAAAATATATCTTTCTTTATAACGTCGATCGATGCAATAAGCTGTCGGGAGTCGAGTTTCAATATGTGAACAATAAAAAATAATTTCGTTTCGTTGCTGTCGACACTTCGCTGCTGCGATCGTGGATTTTGTCCCTTCTACATATAAACGTACCACCAATCGATACTCCAGCTTACAACACCTTTTAGATTAAGAAAAAAATGAAATAAAAGGAAAAATTGCCGATTTTCTTCTAAATCCACGAAACGAAACTAGTCACGAAGTCCAAACGACATCCAAAAACGAATCGCAAAATAGTGCTGTAACAATATCCAATATACCGATACCAAATACTTCATTGTATTACCTAATGCAGGGTTCCAACGTAAATTGTTGGTGATTGGGTTAATATGTAGTAGGGTGCGTTTAGACCATGCCTTCTACAGTCCTACCTAAATTTCGACTAGCTCGTTCGTCGTTATTCACCACAAATGTAAAATACATGTATTTATATGACAACGTTACCTAAAATTCAACGAGGCGTACAAAAATATTTAACATCCCCACTCTGACACAATTTTTGTACGGCCGTATTACCCAAATACGTCGAACCCATTTCTCTTAGCGAACCAAACAAAATTAGGAAATTATAAAATTTGTTCAAAGAATATAAAATTCTTTTTGAAAAAAATTATATTTTTGTATATTTTGTTTCTATTTTCAACAAAAGAAAAAACAAAACTACGTTCTGTCATAGTTGAATTTTTTCAACTTTGAAAATTCGTACGTCGACGTATTTCGGTAACATTCATATGAATACATTCATAAAAGTATAAAGATAGGACAATTGATACGTAAACAATTTCCAACAGATGGCTTTTTCTCTGTTGTTACGATATCATAACAACAGAGAGAACAATATTAAACGTTTTTAATGCTATATCTTATGCTTATTAAATAAAAACATATATTTTGAGTGCAGATCTCTGATTTTATTTACATTTTTTAAACACATTATCGCGTATTGGTGTTTTTATTGTTAACATACCTCTGTTATACCTGATTCCCCCTAGATATTTTTGTATAAACTATTTGTCAAAATGCATTTTGTCGAGTCTTTACGGCTTTTATGTCTTTGTATGCAGATGTCACGAAGTTTTTAAAATGCACCCACATAATAACGTTCAAAATGTTTTAAAAGTGTTAACATATGGTCTGTTCCCGTACTGCAAGAAGCGTTGCTAATTTGGTACTTTTAGGAGAAGAGATGCATTGTCAAAAGTAAATTTGTAATAGGTGGTAACTGCAAAACTACAACAAATACAACTCAACAACCAACAAGAAAATTGTTATTGTATATAACACTAGTGCCAGTTTGATATGTCGAACAATGTAAACAAAACAACATAACATTTAAACACATATATAAGGTGACCATACGTCAATCATCTCTTTTAACTGTCTGTCATCTATGTATGTATGATTTCCATCTGTTGTTTATTTCTATAATCTGTCATCTTTAAGCGGTTTACACACTAGCACTTTTTTCTTTTATGTATTGGCCCGTCTCCTGCGAGTATTAAGGGCTAAACAGAATGTTCGCGTTGAGCGTTTTTTGTTATCGCGTTAACGCACGCAAAAAGTTAAAATATTTTTAACTTCGAAGCGCAGCGCACAATAATTTCAAGCGTTAGTGTTATCGTTTCCTTGTGGTTGTTGTATTTTCGATAACACATAACGCGACGGATGGATCAACGCGAGCATTCTGCTTAGCCCTTTATAGCGCCACCGCCAAACTAGTACTTTTGAATGACACTCTTGCCAAACATTTTGCTCGTTTGATTGTGTGGCCTCTCATGTTTGCCATTCATCATGCAGCCACAAAAATATTCATGGTTGATGTACAGTCAGTAATCGTAAAAAAGTGCCACTCATTCTCTGTATATGTATCTATGTTATCGATAAGAAGAAGTTACTAAATACATTTTACTTTAATTTACAGATCTCCCATCAATCAATCTGACCATGTCCAATATACAGTTTCTTAGACTTTTCGATTTTTATATACTTTGATTTTTGCCTTTGACTAATGCGATGTACACACTAGCACATTTGAATGACACTTTTGCCCAAATTTTGCTTGTTTGATAGTGTGACCTCTCCTGTTTGTCAGGCAACCACAAAAATATTCATGGTTGTTGGACAGTCAGTAACCATTAAAAAAACTGTCACTCAAAAGTGTTAGTGTGTACACCGCTTAAAATGTCGACTTTTCGATCTTTCTTGGTTTTTGATCACAAAGGCCTTGGTTATGACCATGATCCAATAAACAGCAATTTTGGAGTAAAAATTTTTTTTTACGTTTTCACACAATCGAAAGCATTTTGACAGCTCGGGTGAAATCATCTGGCCTTATCGGGCGACCTTATTATTGGATCATGGTTATGACACAATTGAAAGCATTTTGACAGTTCGGGTGATATCACCTGGCCTTGGCGGACGACCTTATTAATGGGCCATGAATGGAATGTCTTTATTTTGAAACAAGGCAGATTTAATAAACCAGCATTAGCCCAGCTGTTGGTACAAATAAATGTCGAAAATGTTGGTGTAATTTAAAACCAAAAGGTTAAAAGCAGAATTATAAATGAAAATATCAAAATTATGAAGATCTTGTTCGGCAATACATTTATTAACATTTTCTAAATGCATTTTTGTCAACAAATTTAATGAATCGGGTTGTTTTGGCATAATATGTTTGACATATCAATGCACCACATCAGTTGTTGCAGAAATTCGTCTATGCGGCTACCTTACTGATTGTACCATATTTAGAAATATAAACAAACAGAGAAGAAGAAATAAATGATATTACGATTGTGTTGGACTTTGATTTAGTGTAAATCAATACGCTTTTCTTTTGTATTTATTATTATTATTATTCGAATTCTTATCAAAATGTTTGCCAAGTAACCTCTTTGGTTTTGGACTTTAACTTTTCTCCATAGCAATTCAAACTGTTTTTAAGAAGAGCGCATCGAATGGACTTTCGCAAAGCACGAGCGCGACAACCTGAAATTGTACGCTCTGTACAAAAAGATGCAAAGTATACGGGTGAACTTTCCGAGGACTTTTCCGACATATTAAGACTGACTGGACCGCGAAACTGGATCAAGTACAACTCCTTAACGAAATTGCTAGCGGAGATATCGTATCATGGGTTCGCTTCATTGAATAATTTGCAAACGCTTGGGGAAGAGTATACAGGAATAATACAGGTCGACTCTGCGTATAAGCAAATTCCGTCAAGTTTGGTAAGTTAATAATTGTTAGAAATATTTTTTTTACAGTATGGAATTTGATCACCTTATCTCAGTTACAACTTTCAGCAATCATATTGGAGTTTGGTGGAGATACAGTGTATCTAAAGGTTCTACAGAAACTAGGAAAGTATGTGGAAGAACACGATGATATTGTACCGGAAGCGAAACAAAGGATTAAGGCTATTATACAGTTCATGCAAATTTCACCATCATACGTCAAAGCCCTGCACAAATCCCTGTTTTATTTACGCTCTGATAAGTATCAACTATCGAAACGCCTTACAGGTATTAATTATGTGCTTATTCGACACTGGCTACAACCTGAGTTTTCGCTGTACGGTTACAAGATATTGGGAATTGTGACATTTCTACAAGTAACATTTTCTGCTGCAATAGCTGCATTTGATACATGGAAGGAGCATAAGAGAAAACAATATGAAGTTTCAAAATCAATTAAGCGTTTCATCCAAAAGGATTTGTATACGACAAGGAATGACCGGCTAAATGCTCCACAATGTATTTTATGTTTAGAACCGCGCATGGCTCCCAGCCTGACACCCTGTGGTCACTTATTTTGCTGGAACTGTCTTCTAGACTGGCTGGATGAGCGTGATGAATGTCCGCTATGTCGGGAAACTTTAAAAAAATCCCAAATAGTGCAATTGCAAAATTACTCGTAATAAGAGCAAAAAAATAAAATAATTTGTTAATATCAAGTACCCGTAATTTCCTTTATTTTTGTTTTTTTAGGAGTGATATTTCCATTTGTACTCATATTACAGTAAAAATTGGAAGGTATTTTCAACCTTTTCAAATAGTGCCCATGGTACCAAACCCAGCTAACAATTTTTGCCGAGAACTCTGATATCAGATTTTTCCGAATTCTCTACAGTTTTTTTTTTGAATATTTGCCGAATATCTGCACTTATTCTGCAAGGGGAACTTATTTGTGTGTGTTTTGTTTACAAAAACACATTTAAATGACGCGTCAAACTATAATGAAAAGAAGAAGAAAATTAAAATTTAAAATAAAATTTCCATTTACTTCATTCTAGTTTTTTCAGAATTCATAAGAAACACAAATGTTCCTTCCGATTTTTTCCGACAAAACTTTCCGTCACACAATTTTCTAAGTTCAATAACCAAAAAATTATACGTAGATCAATATAGGGCTGTAGTTCATTTAAAAATTGGACTATCATGCGATTTTTTGTAAATTAGTCTATACGGATTTGAGCTAGATGTAGGAACTCAAAATTATATATACATTACTTTAATGTATGAAAACATTCATAGTAATTTCGTTATAATTTTCGAATGGGTTAAACTTTTTAAATTATTTTTTTATAGTCATCTAATTTATGTGTTCCCAAAACCGTGGTACTTTATTCAAGATAGGCTATAGCAATTTATAAATCACAATTGTTATGTTATGCCAAAGTCATATACAAAATGTGTGGCTGTGTGTGATGCTTTGAAAATATATATTCCAAAATCCTTTTATTAAATACTAATTTTATAACATGGTTAGGAAGACATTTTTGATTTGTGAATGAAAGTCATATTTCCAACCCAATTTTGAAAAGAAACCCCGACATTCTATTCATTTTTCGTCTTGTTGCATTTCGTTTTATTTATTCTGTCATTATAGCCCAAGGTCTATATAAGGTTGGCCAGTAAGCAAATTCATATAGAAAACTTAAGGGCCCCATACACTAAAGGGTCCCGTGCATTTATAGTGTATGGGGGCCTTAAATCCTGCCGTCATGCCAATGAACCACTTTGTGTATATGTGAGATTGACTAGTGTCAATCTCAAAACTATTTTGATTTTCTTCATGCATTGTGTGTGTCACACATACATAAATAAACTTAAAAAAAATAACACATACTATGATGAATGCTGTACGGCATAAATAAAGAGCACAACACAATTTATAATTTTGTAAGATAATTTACTTGAGAATGTTCTTTAAAATCTTGAAATAGTCCAAATGTGCTTCACAAAAACTATATAAATTAAAATTGAATTGAATGTTGACAAAATATTAATATTTTCGTTTTGTCCTCTAAAGGGCCCCATACACTATACATCATGCCGTACAGCATTTATCATAGTATGTGTTATTTTTTGATCAATCACTATTCCAAAAAATCGATTGTTGTCCCAAAAATTGCATTTTTAGTCGTAAATTCAGTTGTATTTTTATTCCGTCACAATTCTATTATTTTTGTACACAAAATTATTTACTCAAAACTTTCAAAATGAATATTATTCACCAGATTGATTTAAGATGTGACGAATGCGTGTTTTATTTCTTCAATAATCGTATTTGTTAAAATAAGATATCGCCTGGTAGTGACTTTTTGATACCCAAAGGAAATAAAATACTTGTATGAATGAGTATATGCAATTGCAATAACAATAATTAATAACATATATTATGCATACAGATTTAAACATTTAACGCTAAACAAACATAAAATTGAAGTTACGGTTAATACTAAAAACATTATTTAGTTAAATTGTAACAATAGTTAATTTTTCAACAATTTTATTGATTTACAATCTTCGATTGTTTTTTGTGTAAAATATGTTGTTGATAAACTTTGTTTAGGTCCAACAACGACGTCTGGGAAAATTTAAGATGACACATATCTGTAAAATTTCAAATTAACACAAAAGTAAGCTGACTTGTCTCTTATTATATTATATGTGGTAAATCGCTGAAAAACTGGGTTTTTTGTATAGTTCCACGCCATGTTGTTTCAATTGCTTTTTGATCACTTATAACAGCTTTATTTGCTAATTTAACAAATGATGACATTTTTTTCCCCCCAACACGATTTATTAATATTTTCTGTAATAAATTTGTATCTAGAACGGTGGCAAAAATTATGATCAAAGGTGTATATTATTACCAATTAATCCCGAATTTCACCTTCTTTTAGAAGTTTTGCATCAACATTTTTAAAATCATCGAAAACATAAAATGACAGCTATGGCAACAATTGCAATTCTTTTTCTATGGAAGTGGGCATTATGGAATGTCTTATCTCATTCTCTAGAGTAATTACTTGCTCCGTAAGTGATTTAATTAACATCTGTGTGGCCATTTGATTTTTGTTAAATTCCTTTAAAAAGATTTCCATGGTTTCTTTTAGACTATTTATTTCAATTTGATGTTTATAAACACTCCGACTTTTAACATCGTCAAGATTTAAGAAAATTACATGTAAGTATTGCATAAAAATTGCTTTAGTTTTTAATTTAATTTTTATACCTTTCACCACTCTGTGGTACAGGTTATTATGTCTTTGTGCATATGTTTGTAACAGGCCATTTGATTTTTGTTAAATTCCTTTAAAAAGATTTCCATGGTTTCTTTTAGACTATTTATTTCAATTTGATGTTTATAAACACTTCGACTTTTAACATCGTCAAGATTTAAGAAAATTACATGTAAGTATTGCATAAAAATTGCTTTAGTTTTTAATTTAATTTTTATACCCTTCACCACTCTGTGGTTCAGGTTATTATGTCTTTGTGCATATGTTTGTAACAGGCAAAAGGAAACGAGATAGACACATGGTTCCTTTTGAGAATATGCATAGAATCACTTTCTGAATCGATATACACATGTCCGTCTGTCCGTCCGTATGTCCATGTTAAATTGTAAACAAAGTACAGGTCGCATTGATGATCCGAATTGGATGAAATTTGGCACAGTTCACTTCTTTGGCCCAAGGATGAACTCTATTGAAATTGAGAAAAATCGGTTCAGATTTAGATATAGCTCCTATATATATATATATATTTTCGTCCGATTAAATGTAAATTGTGTGCCAAAGTCCCTCATATATCTTTCGATTTGCACGAAATTTGGCATGCCGTAATGAATTAGGTCTAGAATGATGTGTGTCAAGTTTCCTGAAAATTTGTACAGATTTAGATAATCTCCCATATATATTTATTTATTTACTAGCGGGCCCGGCAAACTTTGTCTTGCCTAGCAATATTGTTGATGTATAATTTTCGGAATTTTACGTTTGTTTATATAACCTCCACCATAATGTTAATGAGTGAGTCGGTGGATATAAGGTTATGAATTATTGAATTCGTGAAAAATAAATTTAGATTAAATTTAAGTTTCTGTAACCTCCACGATTTGAAATACAACTTTGAAATTTGCACATACATTTCTACTACTTATAAGATATTTGGTATTGAAAATGTTCAACAGAATTGCTTCTTATTTAATATTAGCAATACTTATTGAGCAGAAAATCTCTCTAATTAACAAAATATTTACCCAAGTATTCGGACAGCTCCCATATAACTGTATCCCTTAATATTCGGTATTTGGCTGTAATTTTATATTCGCCCAAGTTTCCAATTATCTCCCATCTAATAGTACCCCAAATTTTTTGATGCTGTGGGGGATTTTGACACGTTTTTAAATATAATCAGCTGTTATTTGGCATTTGGTTGTTATTTGGTAGAATGAATCCCACTAATGTTATCCATATTGGTCCACTCTTTGAGGCTGCTCCGATATAACGTTACTAAAAACATTCGATATTTTGGGGAGTTTGTTCCAGTGTTTTAACCAAAGTGACTGTAATGTTTTTTTTTTTTTTTTTTTTGGATGATCAAAACCTCTTTACCAAAAATTATCAATATTGGTAAAAGTTTTCGTGTAGCCGAATTTTCTCATAGAGTTGTCCTAACGTATTAAAAAGGAGCCATATATATCCCGTTTAATTTTCGGCATGTTAAATTTCTTACCCCCTTTTTCCAACCTGTGTGTCTATAATTTTGAACGTTATTCTTCAAGAGCATGGACAACCTACTACCTAATAGTGTTGAAACATTGTATTCATATAAATGTCCCGACAGATTTAAGGAATATACATATGAAAAGTTCGATCTTAACAATATATTTACATGTTATTAGATCTCCTAATTTAATCTATCGGTAGTTGACATATTGTACATTCAATGATACTGCTCAATTATTTATTGAATTCAAACAAAAAATTTTCAATACAATGTCAATCCAATTAAAAAAAATATTTTCAATAATTAATGTAAATGGTGCACCAAAGTCAATATATATCTTTCGATTTGCACGGCATAAGTTTCGTGAAAATCGGTTCAGATTTAGATATAGCTGCTATATATCTTTTCTTCCGATTTTATGTAAATTGTATTCTAAAGACCCACAGTTTGTCCGATTGCCACACAATTTGGTACAATGAACTGAAGTTAATATATGTTCATCTCTCAAGTATCATTGAAATCGGTTCACATTTTGATATAGCTAATATCAGGGACGTACGCAGGGGCCGGCCCGGGCCACCCGGTAAATTTATGTTTGCAACAGCGAATTTTTTTTCATTTTGTACTCAGAAAGTGATTCTATACATCAATTGACTCGAAAATATTTAATAATAATAATAATATAACTCAAATTACCTTGTTTAATGGTTGACATTTCATGATAAATCATTTGTTGACTATTGGTATGATCTAAGTATATTACATTTTCTGCATAAAATATATATGTATATATATACATATATATTTCAGAATTCATGTTTGCAGTTTGTATTATAAAATATACATTTATTCTTTGTGTCCATTATTGAATTTAAGGGAAAGTCGTCAGTAATATTTTTCCGCATTTTTCTATATTATTTGATACAGCAATGAAAAAGGTTTCTGGCCGAAGATTTTTTATAATGAAAATGTAGTATTATCAACAAATTTTTATTCGATGACAAATATTTATAGAACGACAGTTAAATTATGAAGCTATTGAATTTCCATCTTCTTTCATTTAACTAAGTAGTTACTGCAGACGATCGAAATTGGATAACAATTCATTTGTTATTGTAAAATTACGAAGTATTACTCTTTTACAAAAAATAAGTGTCGAAGTAGATAATTATTTGAAGATGGAGTTAAAGACTCACTTCCAAATGCTTGCAGGGGTATAGTGTATGGGGCCCTTAACATAATTTTGTATATATGTATAGGTTTCAAAATATGATTTGGCAGCAAACTTAATACTTAATACTGTCCGACCTTATAAAGGCTTTGTTATAGCCCACAAGGTAGAGCCAAGGCCTATATAAAGTGGGCCAGTAAGCGAGTTCATATAGAAAACTTAATTTTTTTTTGCCGAGGCGAAAACTAATTTTTTTGCCTTTAAATAAAAAACACAGCTAAAAAATAACACAATTTAAATTTGTAGGATAATTTACTTGAAAATCTTCTTTAAACTCTTAAAATAGTCCAAATGTGCTCCACATAGACGATATAAATTGAAATTTAATCGAATGTTGACAAAATATTAATATTTTCGTTCTGACCTCTAACATAATTTTGTATGTATGTATGATTTGACAGCAAACTTTATACTCATCTGTGCTTACTGGCCTACCTTATATAGGCCTTGGGTAGAGGCATGGTACAATTATTCAAGGTAGATCATAGTAACTTATAAATTACAATTTTTTTCTTACTGTGGCTTGTTATGCCAAAGTCATATATAAAATGTGTGACTGCGTGTGTAATGTTTTGAAAAATATAACAAAATATATTCGAAAATCGATTTGTTTGAAGATGCATTTTACAACATTCGTTGAAAATATGTCAAATGAAAATAACGACTTGTTGCATTTGTTTTCATTTATTCTGACATTATTGAGGTGTATTTTCTGCTTTCTGACAAAAGCTATCCTACCTTGTGAATTCAGTGATAGTTATTTTTCGTAAAACAATTTTTTTGCATTCCAACAATAATTTCAAACACAACTTATTTTCTTTCATATATTTCTTACAACAATGGTTTTATAATTTTCCGTAAAATGGCCTTTGAACATGCCCAGTAAACTCCAGTAAAAACTGAGTTTTTAACTTTTGGCTTCGATTTCTCAAAATGTCAAATGGGCTAATAAGATAACGAAATTAACTGTATTTTTCACCATATTAATTTTTGTTATGTTATTTTATGTTTTAATAAATGTTGATTCATTTCTGAAGTATATGAATAAAATACATATATATTTGAACATACACTGTAAAAAACCATGCCGTTCAAAAATGCTAAGCCTTGTTCAAAGCCTCCCCCGTTGGACTTTGACTTCGTCCATTAAAATAGTAATAAAATATTTATATTAAGCTTAACGTTATATGGATATTCATTGTAAAGGTTACATATTAGTTAAAATTTATAATTTATTAGTTAAAATTTACAATTTATTAGTTAAAATTTATTTATTAGTTAACCCTTTCAGTGTCAAAAAAATTGTGTCGGAATAAAAATCTAAAATTTTGTATTTAAGGGGACCCCCCCATTCTCGGTGTCAAATTTTTTTTGATTTAATTCGAATCTACTCTAATTCTAGAATGTTCCTACAAAATTTCAAGTGAAAATCTCAAGAACTCTTGAAGATATAGCCGATTTATTGTGTCAGCATCAAGTGACGGCTAAAGGGCTTCTCAAACTTTAAACACGTTTTTCTCAAAACGAATGGCGGGCACGATAACTCAAAAACTAATAATCCAATCGGTTTCAAATTTTGACACGTTTCTCTAGGAGTGTGTAGCTCTCGTATGAACTAGGATAAAGCCAATCGGTGAAGATCTTCCTTATTTTTTTAATTTAGTGTGTGGTAAAAAATAGGCGATTTTCCAAAAAAAAAATTTCAAAGTTCCGCCATTTTTTAATTGTTGTGCGAAGTCAATAATCCTAGTTCATACGAGAGCCAGACATGTCCTCTTTCTAACACAGTTGGAATTTTCGGATTCCGATGTTCCAGTGAGGAGTTATCATGCCCGCCATCGAAAATATGGACTTTTCTTTGGACCCAAAAAACAACAACAAAACAACAACAACATTTGTTTTTAAATTATTTTTCTTCCTTTTTAAATCTTCAAATATATATGTGCCAAGTTACAAACCTTAACAAGCATTGGTATTCATTTACCAGCCCATTTAAAATCTTAAAAATAAAAAATCGAGAATGGGGGGGTTCCCTTAAAATCATACAAAGGGACATAGTTTAGTAAAAATAGCAATTGTCATTTTAACCCTCGGCCAGTTTCGTCTGTCTTTCAACAAAATCTAAACCATCAATAGTAACGGTTCATAATTGCAAAAAAAGAGAGTACTTTTAAATGTCGAATATATTCGTTAAAAACACTGAAAGGGTTAAAATTTATAAGAAACCAAAAATTATAAAATAAAAACATTTAAAATATGTGCCGTAGCTATCTCTCTGGATATTCAAAAGGCTTTCGATTCCGTGTACCACAAAGGCATAATCTAAAAATTAATCCAACTCAACATTGATCCATTTTTGACGAAAATACTCATGAATGTGGATAGGAAAGAAAAAATATTTTTTTGACCGATAAATTTCCTTTATTGTTCATAATATTCATAGGTTATATATATTTACATTTTCAAATATTTAAATAAGTTTGTAGATGTCTCATTTCAAACAATATATATATATATATATATATACCGAATGAACGGTATATTCAAGATTCAATTGTACGGTTAATTTATAATAGCAATATGGTATTGATACTCAATTTAATATTCTCATATAAACTGTACGATTGAATATTTGTTTGCGTTTGCGAGCATCGAAGGCTTTGCGCGCTGATTCCGGTGAGTCAAATGCAACCCTTGCATCACCCGTTGGTTGACCTACGTCATTGAAACGACGTATAATATCTTCCGACTTCAGTTCGAATCCATGAAAGAAATTCAAAATATCGGACAGCTGTGCCTTATATGGTACATTTTCCAATTCCAACACACAACCGGGGCGGCAAAATCGCTCAGGCAATCCATTGCTGTCGCTGGACTCATTCATGTTGAAGCGATTGTTGTTGCTGTTCGAATAGTTAATGTCATTCGTTTCGAATCTGCTACTGTTGTTCCCACTGATTCGATAGTTTAAACTGTTATTACTATTATTGGTCATCCCATTCCATTCTAGATTAGGGTTCATACTATTACCAACATTCATGGCAGCAGCTAGACTTTTTAGGTCGGAAATCTTTATGCCGTTGCCACCGGGGATATATCCGAGAAATGGTTTGCCCAAGCGGTTGGCTATTTCTTGTGGTGTTATCGGAAAAACTCGTAGACTTCGACTCATAAATTGTATATTATGGAAGCGGTTCACAGCGATTTCAGCATCACGTGATCTACGAAACTCGACAATAAATTCGCCGGTAGGCAATTGTCTATCATTGCACAAGGGTTCTATGTGCTTCAAAGCCAGATTAGCTGTTAATAACAGTTGAGCAACGTCATTGATACGGGTAGCATAAGGACAATTCTTCAGTATTACGAAATTTTGTTCAATGCTGTTCGGAGAGGGGCTTGACATTTGCTGATCGTTGAAGTTTGGATTGAAGTTATTAAAATTAGGGGATCCACATACATCATTCATCCCGGTATCTTTTTGTGCCGTTGAAGATGAGTTAAGATGATTCGAACCCTTTCGTAGACGTGGATCTTTATTTCGAGCAGCCTGGGTCGAGTTTACGGGATTATCGAAATCGAACGGACTTTGGTTGCAGCTATTGCTATTGAAATTTTGAGAATCATCATCACTGTGACTCTGCATGATATTATTGTAGGCTCCGTACATATCAAACTTGTTTCCGGTTCTTTCATCATCATTCTTATTACTGACAACTTCGTCAATTAATTTATTAGTTCTCCTAATGAAGTCCTTTGAATGTATATCGCCTGTGTTAGACCGGGTGTCATCCTCTCCATCACTTTGCGTCAAATCCAAACTTATCACTTCTTTTGATTTTGCAGCTTCTTCCTTCTGCCTACGTCGGGTTTCTTCCTCGGCTGCTGCCTGTTCTTCCTTCATCAGTTGTTCGTTTGCTAGACGTATTTTCTCTTTTTCTCGCTCCATTTCTTCTACGGATCCAGGTCTTACTCGGAGACGTCGGTAGCCGATTTGGTGATGAGCCTTATCCTCGTAGGCAGACAAGGCATCTTCTTCGCGCGAGAAACGAACGTGTGCCACGAATTCACGTCGATTTTCTGGAGACGACAGTAACAGAATGTCATAAAGGGAGTATGAACTGAACATTTTCATAATGTCCTGTTCCGTTGTTAATGCCGGTATATCTTCAATATATAAAACGCTAAATGGTTGCATGCTGGAATGACCTTTGAATGCATTTACCGACATTTCACGAACAACTGGTTCCGAAATGTAGTCACCTCTGCCACCATTCTGCTGTCTATCACGATTGTGCCCATCCGGGTGGTAGTTGTCTGTAATTGATTCAAACTCCTCCTCCGATACCGCCTCTATAGCAACTGACCTATTTCGAAGAAGCTGATTGTTCCGCGACAAAGCTCTAACTACACACGCGTGTTTGGAGAATTCGACATAAGCCACACCAATTCGAAGGCCATGTGCGTCATTGACCATTTTGATACCATTGTGGGGAATATACAAGCCAACACAAAATTTACGAATGTCGCTGTATGTGGTTCCGGGACACATATTTGAAATTTTAATACATCTCGTCTTGCTAGGATCAGATTCCCGAGTACTGATGTCATCTTCTCTAGGGGATAATGGAGACGATAGCATGTTCCTATTAGACATGACCTTCTGACTACTGACTATACTGTTTGCTGCAGCCTGGGCAAATAGGTTGGGGTACATTTTTTCATACGGATTTGTGTCGGCAAAGACAATAGGCTCCTGTGGTAGAGTCGCTGCTTCTGCTACGGCCACGGCTTCATTCGATTTTTTCTCTACAAAAATACCTGGAATAGCTGAACTACTAGTTGTTGTCAAACTATTTGCGGAACTAGCTGGTGACTCTGTACTAATGGCAGCGGTGTAAGGGTTTTGTAGGGCAAACGCTTTATTGCCATTGGAGCCACTCAGGAAATTACTTAGGCTATAGTTGTTGGTCGACACCACGGAATTTGGCCCTTCATTTGTTTCTTCTACATCGTTATTTGCTGTAGCGGATTTTTTATTGGTGGCAATGTTGTCTCTGCTATAAAAATTATTCATAGTGGGATAGACACCATTGGCTCCCCAAGGCGGTAGCGAATTCGAGTTCGCACTGTGGTTATCTATGTCATAGTAGGCTCCTCCTTTGCAGTTCTTCTGAAGATTTTTTGACATTTCATATGACCGGTCGTAGTTTTTGTCCCGACTGCGATCTCGACTATTCGAACGACTCCGATCGCGACTTCTGCTTCGGTCCCTGCTCTTTTGATCATCTCGATTGCAGCGATCACGTCGTCGGCTGAAAGAACTACGTTCAGAAGAACGCGATCGTGATCGTGAACGCGATTTGAAATCTTCGAATACCGATCGATTGTCGCTGTTCCTTGCAGATGCCTCGTCAGCGTCGATGATGTTTCTGGAAGGACCGGCGCCGGGTATTAGAGATATACCGGCTTGTTGCTGGTAGGCAAGAAAAGAAGGGTTAACTGCTGTTAAGGGATTAGAAAGTATACTTTGTAGACTATTAGCTGTAATTACGGGTGGCTGTGGCTTGTTCGCCATTGCCAATTTCGGGGCAATGACGTTAGGGGCTGCTTTTGGTCCAGCCACAGCAGAAGACACTAAGTTAGAGTTTTGCAAAGCCCGCATTGAGTGCTGTCTGGCAGTCTCTATGACTTTTTGCATCTCTGCTCTAGACGATAGTAAAAGGCGAACTTGGACACCATTTATAGCTTCACGGTCGTGCATCATAGCTTGTCGGGCGTCTTCGTCAGTGCTGCAAAAATTTAAAGACACTTGTTTTATATTCGTATTTATGTTGAGTCAAGAGCACACATTCCATGCGATTTTAATGTTAATCATTGGCGTAACACATCCGGTCATATTTTATGTAGTGATGCCTAACATAATGAAAATGGATCTAAAAACTTTTGATATTTCTGTATACTGTATATGGGCAATATTGCCATTTTTTTAACATAGCTGAAGCTTAGGTTCTCCCTTTTTTAACTCGGGAATTACATTAGTATATGAAAAAAGTGAATAGTTTTGGGTTAATTGATCTATCGTTGCAAACTGTTTATGATATTGACCTCCAAACTTTATTTTGGTGGATGCTGTGTCTACTTTAATGTAAAAAATGTGTTAAAACAGGTTGAGGCGAACCAGTTTTTTATGTTCTCTATCGATTTATGATTAAGCCACTCATTTTACGGCCTTCGTGTCAAAGTAAAACTAGAAGCCAACAAAATGGGGACTACGCCCCTTATGTATCATTTTTCAATCCTCATATCATTTTTTTTAACTGCATCTACCTTTAAATGATGCTGAAATTTTGAAGCTCAATGTGGACTGTTTTTTTGGATTTTTGCTTCTAGTTTTAATGCGCAAACAGAAATTTCTAAAAATCGATTATAAGATTATTGTAGTCGCGAATCTGAGGTGTAGGTGAGAATTTGATGCGATCAAATTTCTAAAAAAAACCTATTTTTCGGGCCAAATTTTTAGATCTGTAAACTGTATGATATGGGTAACCGCGATCAGTAAGGTTTTTTACGTTTCGGAAGATATAAAATCTTCTTCGTGAAAATCCATCCACTAGAACGGCGGGAACTGTCTTTCCAAAAACACGAAATTTGGCAAAAAAATGTTTTTGAAAATATCGCGGATTTAATTGCATTTTCTGTGAATAATTTCCGTTTCAATAAATGACCTGTTACGGATTTTGTACTTTTGCGAAAAGAGAGCATTAAAATTTTTAGCCGAAAGAGATCTCAAAAATAAAATGAGCTGGGTCTTTCATGGTTCTTAATGGACCGCATTGAAATCGGTATAGATCGATGTATTTTTTTAGGGTGCACACCGAAATCGGATGCGCGTTAATGGCATATGGAGTTTTCGAAATTATACGCGTTTTACGTTCCTGGAAACTGCATGCGCATCAAATGATTTTGAGAATTACGCGATTTAGACGCAATTTAAAATGTATATTTAATAATATTATTTAATTTTAAGATTTATTCCTATTTATAGAACCCCAAGATTTATCGAAAGGGTCTTGATATAATCCGCTTAACACAAAAAGTTATTATTTTTATATATGTCAAATTTTCGGCGAAATTTTGTAAAATAGCAGAACAACACCAACATTTTTTTCTGAAATTTCTTGTAAAAAACCTAAAAAATAATTATGATGACATTATCTCTTCGAACAAAAACAAATAATTTTCCTCAATATCTTTTTTTGTTGTCGCTGTAATTTAGAAACCGCTACACGGACTTGTGAGATTTTGATATCATTTGATTCATCATGGTGTTTAGATTATGTAGATATTTTTAAATTAATTTTTAGGTGTGTGTATGTCATTAATATAATGAAAATATTGACGTAATCTCCTATATTTTTAATTATTTTTCTCATATTTCGCGAAGATGTGCAGCTTTTTCCCGATTATCATAATGAGTTCATATTCTCATTTTACGGAGGAAGATATATATCAACGTTTTTCGTCAATACAATAAACGGTGTAATTTTAAGATTTTTTCTTATGCCCAAAATTAAAACCTCGATAACTTTTGCGCGCATCAACCAAAAATTTTTACGGTTTCGGAGTCAGAACATTTTTCTCTATATGTGTACCAACAAAAATCATTGATGTACCACAAAAACAAAAAAAGCTGTTTTTTTTTTTTTGAAAATGGAATATTAAAAATTGGCAATATTGCCCATATTGTATTATGGGAAACGCATGAGAACCAAATAATGTAGACGAAGTACTTAAGTCTCAAAAAATATATACTTTCCACAGAGTATCTCCAAATATGAAATAAATTCAGCGAACTATTTCCGTGTAAGATTTTACCTGTATATTTTTTATATTTAGCTGCTTTTCGAAAATGTTTCTGCAACATCAACAATATTTGTTGATTCCTAAGGAAGTCAAACTTGATCTAGGCTAGATAAACATAATAGGTTGTGCAAAGTTTGGTTTACAACGGACATTCCATTAGCTTGATATTGGTATTATAAATATTGAAAATTGTGACCCTCTGTGGGGGAGGTACTAGAAAGAGTGGGCCAATGGGTCCCATCTTCAAACTTGATCCTGGCTTGATAAAGATAATAAGTTGTAGAAAATTTCGTTAAAATCGGATAGTTCGTTTGCGTGTTATTATAAAATTAATTTAAATTTTTAGCACAATTTTGACCATTTTGTGGGGGAGGTGCCAGAAGGAGTGGACCGATATTCCCCACTCAAAAAAAAAAAAAAAAAATTAACATGGCAAACCCACATCATGGCATACTGAACAGTCAATGTAACCAATGTTACCCGAAGTTACTTTACATATTTAAGTTTCAAGTTTTCTTTAACTATTTGCTAGACAACATATACGGAGCATTTTTAAACATTTCTCTGGGATTCTTTTGTGTAATTTAAATTTAATAATGTATAGAACCATTTTAGGCATAGTTGCTTCAAAAATCAATATTTTCAGACTAAGATATTAGAAGAAGTTACATCTGTTATTGGAAAATCGAGAAAAAAAACCAGTGAGCGGAGCAGTATAGTCGGACGGGGCCGACCATACGATACCCTACACAACTATCACGGAAATCTAACTTTCTGCTGATTTTTATTCCGAGCTTGCAATTTTTCGTGATAGTTGCACCATCTTGCCCGATTAGAGGTCAACAGTACAACTTCCTTACACCACTGCTCTTGGATAAGCTATCAACTTCTCTATATACGCTATAGAATACAAATTTTGTCATTTTTCACACAAAAGTCAGGGTCCATTTGACCCGCTAAATATTGACGATCTTTATCAAAATAGGCATGCTTATTCCTTGGCCCAATCCCTTTCTCCGTGTAAAAATTCGAGATGCTTGGGCCATAATTGCGGCCTCTAGAGCGACCAGAAAAATGGACAAAAATAATGTTTTTGGTCCATTTCATCCCCTAAATATTAAACAATCTTTTCCTAAAAACAATATGGGTCTTCATTGGCCAGAACCCATCCTACATGCCAAATTTCGTGAAGATTGGTCCATAACTGTGGCCTGTATCGTGTTTACAATTATAATATTATTATAATATCTATAATATTCAAATACACATTAATCCCAATAATTCGTGTTAAGGCAGATTCTTTTAATACTAGATCGTATAATCAAATAAACAAATTGAAGAAGTTTTAATAAGCACCATTCATAATTTTTCAAAATATGAGCGTAATTTTCACTAGAAAACAGTTTTTTAATTGGAATAACTGGAAGTAATTCGACATTAACTATTTATTTTATGTAAGATAGGTACAAAAAGGTAGCAAGTCTGCTAGGATGCCCTGTGTGGAAATGTAATAAATTTTATCCAACTCATTTATTTTTCCTTCTTTTTCTTCAGATGTGTATTACATTTTTTGTCGATTTTAATAATCGAGAGGACTACCTTACTGCTACTGTCCATGAATCCTTGTGTACGTATGAGTTCTGTTCTGTTTCAGAACCTGAAAGAATCTACTACTTTTACAAGTTTTGGACATTTTACATGACTGTTAAAGTTTATAGTTTGAAAAAAAAAACAAACAAAATTATTTTTATTCGAACCAATATATACTGGCACAATACCATTTTTTTTTTTTTTGAAAGACCTTATTTAAAGGTCATGATCATGGTATAATAATAGAAGGTAACAGCAAGTGTTGTTGTACAAGAAACGATACAACAACCACATGGAAATTTGTTGTTGTAAGTTATACTAGTGTCAACGTCATTTGACAGAAAATGTAAACAAACAAAGTATCAAGAAATTATATTTATTTTGAAAATGAAATATTTTCGAATCCTCAAAATAAAATTGAAAAACATAAATGAAAATCTATCAAATTTATATTTCTATCCCTTCCACATCTTTCCTATAATTGAGCCATAGCCTCTTATATGTGTAACACATATGAAAATGCAAGGAATTGCGAGTTATTTCATGAAGAAAGATTTGCTTCCTCAAACTATCCCAGCAGGCAGATTGAGTATATTGAATACGGGAGCACATATAATAATGAACAATTTCAAATTTTATGCGTTCCCAATTTTCCTGTTGGGTGATTTTTAAAAAGATAATTTGTCAAATTCATATTGACACTAGCATTACGTTCGAATCAAATCTGGGATCATCAAGCTGGGATTTGCTGTTACCTTTTATTATTGCACCATGGGTCATGATAGAATTCTGCATTTTCTATTCTGTTGTTGTGACGAAAATTTCTTTTAGAAAATGTTATATATTTTATAATACTTTTTCAACAAAAGTATTTCTTGCATTTGAACGTCATTGTTATTAGGTTCGAAGCTAATTCAATGCGTTCCGTACTAAAATAGCAACCTTCTCACCTTTATAGCTTTTGTTGAACGTCCGTGTTACCCAAATACGCAAGGATCTTATTTACATGTGTATCAATTGGATACGGCGAAAATGGATGAAATCAAATTTTAATTGATCGAAAAATGTTTAATTTTATAGAAACACAAATTTTCCAATGACTGGAATTATATATAAAAAAACAGAAACAAAAAATATAATATTAGGTCATCCAGAATTCCTACAAAAATGCAACCTACATTTATTTACATCTACATTTATTGTCGAACGTTATTGTTGTGGCGAAAATGTGTTTTAGAATATTTCGTTTATATTATATATTTTTTCAACGCGAACGACAAATTTTTGTTAACCATTTATTTATTTTTCACACTATTTAATATAATGTTATTGTGTATAGGTTTCAAAATATGATTTGACATCAAAATTAATACTCAGCTGTCCTTACTGTCCCGACCCCGACTATCAACAAATATATAACAACAAAGACCAAAATGACATTCTTTCTTAAACTTTTTATTGGAGTAATTTGTGCGAGTAAAAATGACAACTAAGAATGCCTGCCTTGGCTGTTGTAAGATAGATACCAGGTAGCCGCATCGGCGAAATGGGAGCATTATTTGTTTGTTCTTCAAACAATAAATTTTGACAATGAAGACTTCAGCTGGCCCTACCGGTTAACCGTTTTAATTTTTAAATATTTGTTTAATATCAGAAAATCACAATTTTATGAATTAAAATAACATTTAAAATCCATATTTGTAATCGCAATAAAATGGCGGTGAAATTAAACATTTTTGGTCTGTTCCTGTACTACAAAAGTCCACTACATTTTCTTCGATATCATAAAGGAAAATTCGGTATCGTAGTAAATTCTTACAGTAATTATGGTTATTTTTTTGAATTTAACGGTTACCGTATTAATATACCTTGGACTGTTGTGGTGATTTTGGTGGATTGTCATATAATTTTGACATTTTTACAAGTTTTCCGTACCAAAACTTTTCGTATCATTGTGTACTTTGAGAACGATTTTGATATTATTCCCCTTTACTAGCTTTACTATTGAAAAATCACTGGTACAGAACGCATGTATTATTGTAACTAACAAAAGCATAATTGTGTAGGAGAAGGCAAAAACTGTTTTGAATGAAAACTATAAACATGTCAAATGAAGACTTTTTTAAGTTCAGTTTTAATGCACTGACAGATGTATTCAGATGTTTTTCAACTATTATATTATTATTATAAACCCACTTGTAGTTACGTCTTTTTGTTTTTTTTTTTTTTTTGTTAATAGAAGCTCCTATTTTGACCGCAGACATGTAAAACTTTGTCAACACATGTAGTTTATTGACATTCACAATATTCATTCAAAAAGTCAATTTTCAATTTTTTGTTAGTTAAGCCGATATGTGCACACACGAAAATTAATTTTTGTGATCTCAATGAATATAAAATATTGCCTTTAGTTTAAATACCTTTTTACGATAATTATTACCATTCCATAGAAATATTATTTATATTTTCTAATAAACATATGCGAATTTAACATTTTACTTTTTTCATTTCGCATCAGCGAATCCCCTTTATAAAACAACTCACCATTATTCATTACATCCGAAATCGCGGCTGCATAAAATAGATTCCAGTGCAGTTGGAAATGTAAAAATCTTAGGAAATTTACCATCCATAGATTCTGGAATTGAGTAATAAATGGTGCCTAGAGAGTTACAAGATATACTTGGAAAACATTGATAAATTGATAAAGAAAATGTAGATGCAATGTTATATATGTACTGAAATTCGCCTTCTGGACGACCTGCTATTTGGAACTCTGAATAGTTTTATATACATGCTGAGAGGAGTACATTTTATTACCTACTTAAACACACAGAAAATAATCAGGTATCAAGCCAAATAAGTTTTAAATATTTTAATACTCTTTCTGATTGAATACATATTAACAACTAACAATTCAAAAACTTGTATGTAGCTACTTTAACCACACTATTTTTTGGACCGTGTTGATATGACTCGAATTTCTCAAAAGCCTGATAGTCTAAGCCCTCCATCTTGTCAATATTTCAATGTGTGGAGTATTCACCTTCAGAAAGATTTCCTTAAATATTTCGTCATTTTTAAACACAGAATGACAAATTAGCAATTCTTTTCTTCATCAGCGTCGAAGAGGACATTGAGTAATTCAAATATGCCAATCTTCATGTGAACCAGTAGAAATATCCCATCCAAAGGATTTCTTCAAATACGACGGAATCGGCCGCAACTTCATAACCATTCCATTGATTCCAATTGTTTCGGAAGCCACATTAGCCACTAGAATTTTCAGTTGGACCGAAAATAAAAAATTGAGCTCCGTCTTGCCAATTTGAAATTTAATAACTATATTTAAAAGGTTCATATTAAATAAAAAACATTGGTTACGTGGTTAGTTACGTAATAAAATTTATATCAAGGTTCATTCTCCTTCCCCGCAAACCCCTTCATTTCGCATTTGTTCAGTGTTGTGCAGACCTAAATAGAGAGTTAGTTTGGTGAGCGTAGCTGAGAATTTGTCACCAAAAATATCATAGGAAAGAGAGAACAAATGAGAGTACGTTTATACGCTATTCCATTTACGCTAACGTATGATTTTGGGATGTTTTGAGCATCACTGCATTAGTTAATGTTGTATACCTATTTTTGCGGTTGAGAGTCAATTTGACTTATTAAATAATTTGCGCTATTAACTTTTTAACCATTCCACTATCGGCACGATTCCAATCTTTTGGCAAAAGCCAATTTTAGCTAGCGATGTGACGGTTTTAAAATTGCATGATGCCAAATTCAAAACATCATATTTTTTCGAATATAATATAATTTTTTCGAATATAATCGTCCATGTGACATGTTCCGAGAGTTTTTGAATTCCCATACTTTTTTAAATTCCCATGTTGTGCAAAATGGTGTGCTCAATTTCGAGCGAAAGTGCGGCTCGAAAGCATAGCTGTGTTCAATATGTTACGAAATGTGTTCAATAAAAAACATGGTAAGCCTGCTGGCTTATTAACTGCCCTGGTTTCTACCAGAAAAAGTCTAATGATACTGGAACGTGTTAAAATAAGCATTTATGGATATTTTGAGAGAAGTTGGTCCTTCCATACACAAGGGTACCATACCCGAAAGCCTGCAGTAAGCAGCTACCTTAAGATTTCTGGCTGTTATTGGGTTTCAGAGGGTAGTGGCAAATGATTTAAAAATAAGTGTTGTTCGCACAACAATGTGTAAAATATTGTGGAGAGTAATGAAAGTCCTGGAAGACAAAGTGTGTGCAAGCTGTGGACAGCTGCAGACCAGGAGGAGCCCTTTTTCCGTCGATTTTGCATTTGGTTTTCTTGATATTGGACTTTTATTGTTCAGAAAGAATGTACCGAATACAAGCATGCAGTGACATCAAATTTTGTTCATATTAGGATTGCACGGGCAATGACAAAATGTCGTGGTTCAATGGATTAACGAAAGAATTAACAATGATAACATAGTGCAAAACTACGAAAAAAATTATTTAAATCGTTTGGGTTTATACCGTTCCTCTAATTAAGCCATGATTCACATTAACTGGTCTTCTCATCTCTTTCATAATGGAATTTAAATTCATGGCCATATCGAATTGGACTCGTATGTATATACATATGACGTCCCCAATACTTACCATACCATATATATTCTCAAGCTTAATGTCATATTTTAACATACCTAAATAGCTTAAAATGGATTAGTTCAGCATTAATTCACCCTTTAATTACTTTAGAACATTTTGTATGGTGTTTGTTCGTTTAGTGGTCCAACTTTCGAAGTTCGAGTTCGTTTTTTGAACACTGGCATTAATATGTGAAAAACAACCTATCACTACAAATTGCCTGTATGCATAAGCCATTTTGAGTTGCTACTGAATCAAACTACCTGTAAAAATTTTATAGATTATGTCATATAATATGTAACAAAAGTTAATACAGCAATGTTATAAACTCATTAGATGCACATATACATATATGTATAAAACAGACAAACATACCCTATTTGTGATTACAAACAATTGTCTAATATACGTATATGTATACATAATTCTATTCGATCAGCAGAGTTGATCCATCTATGTTTAAAACTTTTTAAATTTAAAAGCAGGGCAACTCCCATAGGTTGCTTTGCCGGATTTTGTGAAATTATTTTTTACTAAGATAGATTTTTCTAGTTTGCGTAAAACTTACTTCATATATATATATATATATTCGTAAAACTAATGTTAATCAAAGTATGTAATTTATATTTTGTTTCTTTAAAGTTTGTGAAACATCATATCGATTTCCAGCTTCTTCCTCTTTCCGTGTAAAGGAAATATAAACAAAACTAACAATATAAGATGTGATATTTTTTAAAATAATATAAATAAATGAACCATACCATTTGGGGTTTTGGGTATTTTTGCGAAAGAGAATGTTTACTTGAAAGTAGCGAGTACGTGATTCATTTCATCCCTGGTTGTAATTTTTTGAAAATTTTTGCGACATAAAACATTTTCTGGATCATTTCTTGTGTGATGTGCCAATTTTAAAGTATTTTTTGAATTTTATCAATACGATACTCAAATTAGTATACGTGTTAAAAAATGTTCACATTTGCTTCCTCTAACAAATTGATATTCCGATATTCATAATTATATATAAAATAGAATGGAGTTATTACTGTTTCCCATCTACAGTATCCATTTTCAAATTCTTGCTATCCACTCATATATATATGTAAATTGCGGCACGGTCAACAGTAACATTTTCAAAAGCAAGCCCTCTTACATGGGAACTTTGACTTCTGCAGAGTGATTAATATTTGTCATAAATCGTTATTATTGCAGATAGCTCAACGTTATACACAGAACATTATTATATTATATTATGGCAAATAACTTTAGTGGAATAGCTACCGACGTAGTTTTTATTACAAAATGTCACAGGTATCCAGAAATTTAACGAAACAACACAATCGGAGTAGAAATATAAGCCGAGTACATTAAAATCGATTTAAAGGAATGTGCTCTTGTATTGAACTTCCTTATTAGTAGGATCTATTAACACTGTAAGAAGCTATATATTATACCTGAATGCAATGAAAGCATCACCCATTTCTCCGCCGACTATGTGAACGCCGCCATCCGGAATTGATAAACCTTTGAAGAACTGACGAATATCCAAAGCATTTGCCGACCATGGTAAATTTTGCAAACGAATGATTACATTCATCTTAATATTGTTTGTGTCAACTTTTGTTTTTCAATTGTTTTTTATTTTCAAACTGATAATGAACAAAGAACTAAATATTTGCTTTTTTCGGGCCTCACTTAATTCTAGCTCTCCAAACTCAATTAATATTTCACATCGAGGGAAATGAATTTGAGTTAAAAATGCTCACATTAGCTTTGTAACCATTAAGTGATCTTTGCCAAATCTGAAAAAAAAGAAACAGAACAAGATACAAAAAACACATTATTTACATATGACTAAAACAAATACAATTACAAATAATAGTGTTTTCAAATTTATTAATTATTTATTATATTTCGAAAAATTCTTAAGTGGTATAAAAATTTATAAATATGAAATGTCACATTTCCTTCAATATATATTTGTTTTTTCCTATATATAGGTATATATGTATGTAAAATTACAAAAATGTTCTTGTCAAATTCTTAAAATATTGGTAATAAATAATAAGTTGTGTGGAATCTGTGATGATGGTAATGTAAAAAATTGGGGGGGGAAATGTGTTGAAGCCAACAAGTTTTTTGTGTTCTTTCCTGATTTGTGGCTAAATTACAACGCACGCACATGTGATCAGTGACTAAGTTGAAGAATGCCATATGGACAATATGATTCTAATGCATGATTTTACGATATAATCACTGCATCCACCCAAAACGGATTTTAAAGTCGGATTTTCGGTGTTTTTTGAATTTTTCTTATGATTTTGCTTCGTTCAGTGTATATGAATGTGCTCATGAATGTGACGAATGAATTAGTATAATAATATAATATTTTTATAAAAAACCTATTTTTTAGTCTAAATTTAAAAAAGTCCATTCAAATGCCGTAGAACCCCGCGTGATTTTAGTTTTTTTACGGGCCGAATCTAATGAGCCCAGCCATGTTCCATTCACCTGTTAAATGAGATATTGAAACCAACCTTATTGTTCGACTGTAGTTATTTATGAAATTTATTTATGAAATATTCTGACTTAAAAACTACATAAACTAATCTAACTTAGCCTAATATTATACACATAACAGCTATCAATTCTCACAGTGAACATGGGGGTTGCGTGTATTTGTTTACATCAAATGGGCGCACCAATATTCTTGTGTGTGGACTTCTATTAATTCTTTATTATCAGTGCACACACAGATTTTGTGACTGCATTAGCCACTTATCAAATGCACAAATGTGAAAGGATCATAAAATAAAAAGAATGAAGACGATCATGTTCATATTTTTACGAACATTCTCCCGGCCGGAAAATATTATTCTAGATATGTTGTGCCCGTGGGAACTGATTGCTTATATGAAGTTGATTCCTTATATAAACAGTTTTTTAATATAAATTGGACATTGAAAATATAGATATTATAAGTAAAATATGATATGAAATATAAAATTCTTTAAATTGAAGCGATCGCTTTTGGATTGATTGCAGTTCCTTATATCTCGGCAGGTATCGGTGGGCTGTCTCCATCTTCACTTTCTTTTATTTCACTTAACTCCCCGTAATTCCTCTCGGGTGTGCCTCTCCGCTTTGTTGCACAATTTGTTCTGGAGCATCTTTAGCAGAATTACCGGTTGCTGTTTGCCTTTCTTCTGCCTCTCCAACTTTTCCCCCAGCCTCCGGTTTAACATCTGTGGATTGACCAGTTCGAGGAGCTGCTCTTGTTCTAACATACTTGGATTTGTGGTACCACTAACAGCACTTTGGGTAGCAACTTTTGCAGCTGTCATTGCCGTGTTGGTAGCAGCCAGGGCAACCTGTTGTATTTGTCCTACTACGTTTATTGGGGAAATGAGGAGAAACTTCATGAAAGCCACCACCACCTCCAGGTGGTGGCAAATTCAATAGAACTGGTGGCTGATGGACTATTAAGCCGTGGATTCCTGATGCACGTTCGCCATGTAAAATGTGTCCACCACGACGATAGCCAATGATGTATCATGGGGACAGGTGGACCCCGTGGCGGATCTCGCTCACGCCATTCCCATGTCCAACCACCAGGTGCTAATTTTTCGAGTGCTTCCGGTAAATCAGGTTTGTCGCGTTCCTGCCAGGCAGCTCTGCCGGATTATGGTTTTTTGGAAACTTCAATTTGGCCCTCTTCAACATCCCCGTCGGTTTTCGAGGCATGAGATGCTCCTGGTTCCTCATTGGGCCATTCACGTCGACTTTCAAACCAGACTTTTCGTTTCCAATCCGAACCTGGACGTATCTCGGGTGTGCCTCTCCGCTTTGTTGCACAATTTGTTTTGGAGCATCTTTAGCAGAATTACCGGTTGCTGTTTGCCTTTCTTCTGCCTCTCCAACTTTTCCCCCAGCCTCCGGTTTAACATCTGTGGTTTGACCAGTTCGAGGAGCTGCTCTTGTTCTAACATACTGGGATTTGTGGTACCACTAGCAGCACTTTGGGTAGCAACTTTTGCAGCTGCCATTGCCGTGTTGGTAGCAGCCAGGGCAACCTGTTGTATTTGTCTTACTACGTTTATTGGGGAAATGAGGAGAAACTTCATGAAAGCCACCACGACCTCCAGGTGGTGGCAAATTCAATAGAACTGGTGGCTGATGGACTATTAAGCCGTGGATTCCTGATGCACGTTCGCCATGTAAAATGTGTCCACCACGACGATAGCCAATGATGTATCATGGGGACAGGTGGACCCCGTGGCGGATCTCGCTCACGCCATTCCCATGTCCAACCACTAGGTGCTAATTTTTCGAGTGCTTCCGGTAAATCAGGTTTGTCGCGTTCCTGCCAGGCAGCTCTGCCGGATTATGGTTTTTTGGAAACTTCAATTTGGCCCTCTTCAACATCCCCGTCGGTTTTCGAGGCATGAGATGCTCCTGGTTCCTCCTTGGGCCATTCACGTCGACTTTCAAACCAGACTTTTCGTTTCCAATCCGAACCTGGACGTCTGACATAGCCAGGTTCTCGTTCCCTTTGGATATAGATGTTCAAATTCCATTTCACGTATTTCTCGTTCCGAAAGCCATGGTTCACGACCGCCGACTTAAGAACTACATAAACTAATCTAACTTAGCCTAATCTACACACAACAGCTATCAATTCTCACAGTGCAAATGGGGGTTGCGTTCATTTGTTTACATCAAATGGGCGCACCAATATCCTTGGCAGGCCAATTCATGCCATTAACCGCATATATATTAGAACTTTTTACCGGTTTAACCTACTTAATGAGATTTAACCTACATATATGCAAAGGAATTGACAATTGAAACCCACTGGGTTAACGGAATCCGGTTAAATGTAAACGTACTGTTAGTCTTCTCTTGCTGTCAACATTTAAATCGTGAAAAACCAACCAGAACAGGATAAAAACTCAAAATATCTTTCATGAAAACATAATGATAGTAATGTGCACATATATTTTAGTTAGAATAAAAATATTATTTGTTTATTTATTCTTTATACAATAAATTTGACAGTCAATGAAGACTTCGAATTCGCCTCCTTGTTAACCTTATAGTTTTAAAGCGTGCAGATCTTTCCTCCAATTGAGTCATTGACATATGTAGAGGTAACTCATACAAAAACGCTAAAAATAGCGTTGAGAATTGCAATTTTTCATTGCAAAGGGATTTGCTGCTTCACATTTTCCCATTAGGAAATTTAAGTAAATTGTAAAACAAAGTACAACGAACTTCTGTTGCGATTTCTTTGATTTGACAATGTATAATTGCCAAAGCGCGGTTAGTACTCTTTTAAATTAACATAATTGAAATTCTCATGCAAATTCATGTTTGTAAAACCGGTTCCGAAAAAAATAAACGCCAATACTATATTTTTCCATCGTCAGCAGAAGCGGAGGTTCACCCCTTTATAACTCGGGAACTACTTAAGCATATGAAAAAAAGTGAATAGTTTTCGGTTAATTGGTTTGTCGTTGCAAACTGTTCATGATATTGACCTCCAAACTTTATTTTGGTGGAAGCTGTGTCGACTTTAATGTAAAAAAATGTGTAAAAACAGGTTAAGGCGAACCAGTTTTTTATGTTCTCTATCGATTTGTGACTAAGCCACTCATTGCACGGTCTTCGTGTCAAAATAAAACTAGAAGCCAACAAAATGGGGACTACGCCCCTTATGTATCATTTTTCAAAATTTCAACTGCATCTACCTTTAAATGATGCTGACATTTTGAAGCTCAATTTTGAGTGTTTTTTTAATTTTACTTCTAGCTTTAATACGCAAACAGGAATTTATAAAAATCGATTATAAGATTATTGTAGTCGCGAATCTGCGTAATTTGATATGTATTTTGTGTATGTAGTATGCACAGCTTAAGAGTTATACTCATCCGAAGGTGCGAATTTTGTGCGATCAAATTTCTAAAAACCTATTTTTCGGGCCAAATTTTTAGATCTGTCAACTGAATGATATGGGTACCCGCGATCAATAAGGTTTTTTACGTTTCGGATGATATAAAAGGAGGGAACTGACCTTCCAAAAACACGAAATTTGGCAAAAAATGTTTTTGAAAATATCGCGGATTTATTTGCGTTTTCTGTGTATCATTTCCGCTTCAATTAATGATCTCATACGGATTTTGATCTTTTTCGAAAAGAGAACTTTAAAAACATCAGCCGAAAGAGAGATGTACGCAATTTATCTCAAAAATAGATTGTGCTGACACATCCATGGTTCTTAATGGACCACATTGAAATTGTATAGATCGATGTATTTTTTTAGGGTGCACACCGAAATCGGATGCGCGTTAATGGCATCTGGAGTTTTCGGAAATTATTCGCGTTTTACTATTTTTTGGGTACTTCAATGTAATGCGCGGCACATCTTAGCCGTCAAATGAAATTTCGCAAAATATATACGGATTGGAAGATAAACTTCAGTACTTCCTGTAAACCGCATGCGCATCAAATGATTTTGAGAATTTCGCGATTTAGACGCAATTTAAAATGTATATTTCATAATATTATTTTATTTTAAGATTTATTCCTATTTATAGAACCCTAAGATTTATCGGAAGGGTCTTGATATAATCCGCAAGGCGTATACTTATACACAAAAAGTAATTATTATATATGTCAATTTTTCGCCGAAATTCGGGTAAAATAGCAGAATAACCCCCAACATTTTTTTCAGAAATTTCTTGTATACAATTAAAAAAATAAATATGATGACATTATTTTTTTAAACCAAAAACAAATATTTTTCCTCAATATCTTGTTTTATTGTCGCTTTGATTTAGAAACCGCTAGACAGACTTGTGTGATTTTGATATCATGTGATTCACCATGGTGTTTAGATTGTGTAGATATTTTTAAATTAATTTTTAGGTGTGTGTATATCATTAAAGTGGGCCACACACGTCAAACATGTGCGTTCGATCGGTGTGAAGCTGTCACGTCAAACGGATCCACAAAACTTTATTTCGTATTTATTTTTTGAAGCGTGAAGATGGTCAGCGATAGTGATGACGGAAAAAAGAACAAATATTTTTATTTAATATAAATTTATTAAATAATTTTATTTTATTCCGGGAAAATATATTTACTTCCCAAACTGTACGATATGTGTAAAAAACATCAAAAAATATTTCAAAACATTTTTTTTTGCACATTTGTGACATTGTCCGCTGATCCGCACTCCACGAAATTTCATAACAAATGAGAAAATATCCACACACCAGACCACAGACGTCAAACATGTGCGCGTCACACAACGAAAAATTAAAAATTTTTAATTTCTTTCGATCGGTGTGCGCACCACCAAATCCGTTTGAACACCGTACCACACACGTCAAACATTGCTTCGATTCACACCGATCGAACGCACATGTTTGACGTGTGTGGGGCACTTAATATAATGAAAATATTGATGTAAATTTTTTATTTTTCTCATATTTCGCGAATATGTGCAACTTTATCGTGATTATTATAATATATCCATATTCTTATTTTACGGAGGAAGATATATATCAACGTTTTTGGTCAATATAATAAACGGCGTAATTTTAAGATTTTTTTCTTATGCCCAAAATTAAAACCTCGATAACTTTTGCGCGCATCAACCAAAAATTTGATCGCGAACGGTTTTGGAATCAGAATATTTTTCTCTATATGTGTACCAAAAATCATTGATGTGCAACAAAAACATAAAAGCTGATTTTTTGAAAATGGAATATTAAAAAATTGGCAATATTGCCCATATATATTTTTTTATTATCGTATTTTTTATTTCAAATATGTGTACAAAATTTTTCTGCTGGGTCGTCCTACATAAATCAAAAATGTGATATCAAACTTGACACCAGTTAAACGGCATTTACATTAGAACTTTTTACCGGATTGACCTACTCTATGAGGATTTATTTGGCATGTATAAAATGGAATTTACAATTGAAACCCACTGGGTTAACGAAATCCGGTACAATGTAAACGTACTATTACGATACAATCAAATCAGCTGAGTATTGCAGTTAACTTGTATAATTGTACCTTGGCAATTATTGGGTATTTATCGGGTATTTACCAAAGTATTTACCTAAGTCTTTAAAATATCATAAAACAATCCATTCTAAATCATTTCTATCGATTTAGAATGGATTGTTTTATGATACTTTAAAGACTAGATGATGATGTTGTATTACCGGTTCAATATAGTAAATACCCACATATACATACGAGTGAACCATTTTACAGTCGAGTACGCATATAACGAACTTTCTTTACAGCGTACACATTTACTGTATCACAAAGAAGATATTTCACTATGTGTGGAAGGCACTCGTGCCTCTGAAATTCGAAAAATTATTGAATAAAAATTGCAGGAATATGGATTATGTTTTGAAAGCGTAATTGACGAGACTCAATTCTAATTATTGATGATGCTGTCTTTAAAACATTGTGCGATCAACTAAATTCCACGAATAATTCAATTTAACAGAAATTACTAGAAACGGTAGAAGCTAGAATCAATGACCGACGTGACTCAGTTAATTTGGGGAATACGGGTGTGCCAAAAAAAGTCAAAAGATATTTATGGTAGACAGTTCAATGAAGGGGATGATTTCTAATCTAGTAGTGTTGAAGATATACCAAAGGTAGGCAACGTTAACCCTTTCAGTGTGTTGAGATTTTTGGTGGCAGCTGTGGTTTTGTCTTGCGCAAACTTCGGCTTTTATTCCACAGAGTAATGTGTTATGTGTTTGTACTTAAGTTGGGTGATCATGTTTCTCCTTATGTCAAAGAGTTTCTTGGTAATTCGTTTGATGATTTCCTTAAAATCAGATGTATGCTTTTTTTCTATAAGGTTTACAAAACCCAAACTCCTTCCTCAGTAGTTGAACTTTTTTCGTTCAGTAGGTCTGTGAGAAATACTCAAATCCAAGTGCCTCGTTTGAACCCATTGTTGGAGAAGTCTTTCCATGTAAGGGTAGCTCGGGTGTTCAATAGTTTGCCACAGGTTCTCAAAATATTCAGTGTTTCGTTAAAATGCTACAAGAAAAAGTCACTTCAATATGCAGATGTTCATGGATTTTAATGTATATATTTTGTTAAATATTTATAGATGATTTATCCTATGCTTAGTTTCATATATTTTTATTTTTCATATGTTTTAATTTGAATTTATGGATTGATTAATAATTAACCGTTAATTAATTTTAAGCCTTTGGAGTAGTTCATGTATTGTTGGTTATGATATAATTAAGTGATATACTGTTAATTTTAAGCTTTTGGAGTAGTCCGTGTAAAGAAGTTTTTGGAATCGCTCATGGCCCTTTGGGCTAGGTTCTTGTTTATGAAATAAATTGAAATTGAAAATTGAAGGGGATGATTTCTAATCTAGTAG